AGAATCGAAAACATATTTCTTAATAGTGAGAAAGTAAAATCTTACTAAAAGAGAACTACTAGAGAATTAAAACATAGCCTTTACCACAAAATAGTATACTTCAAAAGGGGTGAGGTTGCTGGCAAAAATAATAAACACTTCTTGGTGGGCCCCTTCTATCTGTTTGTTTTGTTTCTGTGTTTGGATAGAGGCTGTTTCAGAGCCATCGGTAAGCATCTGCAATCCTAGTCAATCACTGAGATTCCTAAAGACTTGAATAACAAACTCTGTATCTTGCTTTCAATAAAAAGATATCAGCGCCTATAAAGATCCACAATGTTCAAAGTAGATTTTTTTTCAAAGTTGCAGAACCAGAGATGGAATTGTGTGAAGATAAGCAAATCACAGGAAAAGATTTAGTAAGCTTATACTTCTGTCTTTAGCCTTCCCCAGCTAACGTCAACAGAGCTTTTCCAACATATGGAAAAGTCTGCACTAAAAAGCCCTCAGGACCTAGTGATGGCATCACTGGCACACCCTCCCTCCTGCCTCCCTTATCCCCTCTTTCTTCTTTCTTTAATCTCAAAATTGCCCTGAAAAAGCTATTTTCCTTTAAACTTTCACTACTAATTTTAATTTACAATGTTTTATGGAGTGTTTGCTATTTTTTGAATGCTGTATTTTAATTAATGTAATCTAAAATAGTTCATATTAGAAAATACGTATTCATATGTATTTTTGATAATTTACACTTTTGATACTTTACAATATATTTATGATTTTTAAAGTAGATTTAAATGTAATAAATATATGGTTTCACTGATCTTTGCTTTGTAATAAATAATAAAATGTTGGCATTGTCAGTTTTGTTTCAATATTGCCAACCTGAAACAGTAGACATTCAGGCTCGTAGATTATACATAATTTTCAACTTCACTAAATTTTGCCAAATTGTTCTCCAAGACATTAGTATTGAATTACACTCCCATTAATATCATATAAAACTTTGTGTAGCTCCATATCACAGCCAATATTTTGATTAGTAAACTCTTACATCTTTGCCAGTCTGGTATGAACTGATATCTAGTGTGGCTTAATTTCCATTTCCCTGATTGACAGTGAAGTGAAGCATCTTTTCATGTTTATTGGCCATTTATTTGTCTTTTTCTTATCGTACCTCAGTACTCTTATTATAAACAGTGTTGTAATTATCTTCTCCCAATCTACAGACTTTTTCACTTTGCTAATGTTACGATAAATAGAAGTTTTAATGTTAATATAATGAGTTCATTAATCTTATTTATGGCTTTTAGTTTCTGTGATTTAAGAACTCTTTCCTTAATTCAAGGTCATTAAGTTGGTGGCTTACATTTATTTCTCTTAAGCTCAATGTTTTGTTTTTTTCACAGTTGGGTCTTATGTTAGATTATGAAAACTTTACCATTACCATCTAACAAATGGTCCATCCCCTTCCCACAGATCTGCTATGCCAGCTCTGTCATACATGAAGTTTTTATACAAATGTGGGTCTGTTTCTGGACTCTCTATTTTATTCCATTAATATCTTTTCTACTCTAGAGCCAATTCCTCACTATCTTAATTATAGCTCTATAGGAAGACTTAAGACAAGTTAAGATAGAAGCCCCGACACAGACACACACACACAGCAATTATTTTCCTTTTTCAAAACTGATGACCAGATTGCTATGCAGAGGAGGGACATGATCTGACTCACATTTTGCTAAAAGGACCACCCTGGCTGTTGTGTACAGAGTAATAATTAACGACATCAGAGAGAGAGAGGAAACAATCGCTAGAATTATGTCCTTGACTAGAGAAAAGCCGGTGGCACCCAGTGGAAATAGGAGGGATTAGCTTTGCAGAGCAGCATGCAAAGTTCACCTGCAGTAACAAAGGCAGGGTCTGTGAGTGCAGATGCAACGATGTGCGGTGATGGGAGTCTGGAAATGCTCTTCTGATGGCTTTAATCCTTTTGGTGAAGGTATCAGTTAAGAGTGAAATGTTGAACGTTTAAGAAGAAAGGAGATGGTGCAGAATCCCTGTTGAGGAGAATAGGAAGATAAATGATTGCCTGGAGGCATTAAGAGCCCACTGGAGGTTTGTGGTCACGAATTTAAAGTGAGAACAGTGAACATGGCCACATGCAGCTGCAGAGAGCTGGGCATAATCAGGATTCTGGTTTTGCTAGTTAAGGAAATAAAGTGAAAGTGCTAATGGGGTTGAAGGGAGTGATTACAGTGACGGACAAGCAGTTTAACCTGGGTAGAGAAGGGAGCGAAGACCCGTGAGTGAGAACATTGGGAAGTGATAGGATCAATGAGTTGGAAGTTCTGTGGGGTGAAGGGATTGCTGGGGTCAGCATACTAGGGGAAGGGATCTGGAAAGACGGAAAGCAGGGGAAGAGAGTGGGATGCATGAAATTCACATTATGAGAGGGTTGCCATTATTGACAATTACAAGGTCAAAGTTATGAGTGGGGCTGGCTTCATGGCGTGCAGCCTGTGCAGTCCCACAGGGTCTAGACTTCGAAGGCCCTGCACTTGGTTTCACGCTCTGCTGTCACCATTTCAAAATTCCTAATAATTCTGTAACAAGGTCTTAAAATTTTCATTTTCGCCTGGGCCGCACTAATTATGTAGCCAGTCCTGGTTAAGAAGATGGGACTGAGTGGGTGATGGAGGTGGAGGACAGGATTACCGGAGGAGAGGAGTGCAAGGAACTGAGAAACTGGAGTGTTGATGGATAATCTACATGTGAATTGAAATTGCCAACAATTTAGACAGGAAAGGTATTAAAGGCAGTGACAGCGCGCTAGGAGCTAAAACCTGGAGTAATGAGTGGCAATGACCCAGAGGTCAGGAGCTGTCATCAATAATGACACCTTTATTGGGTAGTGGGGGATGTAATCTAATGACACAAAACTCAAAGTGGAGGATTGGGAGGAAGAAGGAAAATAACGCTGAAGAGCTGCAAAAGCAAGGATAACCCTGGCCTCCCCTCCAGGCCTGTGGTGAGAGGGCTAGGGGAGAAAGCAGCCTCCTTCCAGCGGGATCCAGGGGAAGCAGAGCCAGGTTTCATTTAGAGAAGGTGACAGGAAGGTTAGAGAACAGGTGGAAGATACAGGAGCTGTGATGATGGCAGACCTTGAGTGCTCTAGACTACGTGGCAGGACTGCAGGAGCTGGGGAGAAGGGCACCCAATACAGGCTATACAGAACTTTGTGGGATTAGAAAAGAGGAGAAAAAATGACCCACAAGACTGGGGTTCTTGCAATGACTCACAGACAGATTAAGGGTATGATGAGATTAGCCCATTGGATTCCAGGCAGAGAGAGTGAAGGCAAGACCATGAGTGCTGGGGGATGGAGAGGGGGTCCCTCGTCACCACTGGTGATGGGGCAGAAGGCTTGGAGGAACACGGGCTTTTTACCTGTCTTCAGTGTGAATGCACACTGAGAAATTACATATTTTTTCAAAACTTTATAAATGGCATCTATAAAATAATAACTAGACTAGGAGACATTTAAACTAAGCTCTTATGTTTACCCAATAATATTGTCATCATATAAAGTGGACACTAATCTCACTGCTCTGAAGTCTCTTACAGTGCTCTTTTTTGGTAAACATTTCAAAGTAAATTCACATGCGTATCACAAGCTCAATAAATCAATTTCTTATAAAGCACTGCTGCAATGTGGCTTGTTATTTCATTTAAATACTTTGCAAAGAATAAGACTATATTTGAGCAATGTCCATCTTTATACCTTGAAGTATATGGCTTTTGGACTAATTAAGCCAGAACTTCCATTTGTTTTATTCTTTCAATTCCTTTAGGAAAGATTTTCTTAGGCTGGTAATATAGCAATGTAATTAAAAATAAAGTCATTTATTTAAAAATTTAACATAGGCTATGTGATAACTGGGTTTTGAAAAGCCACATGATCAACCAAATACAATGTATGGACCTTGTTTGGATCCCGTTTTGAACAATACTTCTGTGAAAAGACTTTTTTGAGATCTCTTCCCAGGCTGTGAAATATTTCAATCTGTCCACATATAGACAAGGACTCATGTAAAAACTTTTTGTTGCTCTCCATCTGATTTAGAGACACCTACTAGCTTATTCTGGCCTCAGGAAACCCTGCAAAAGGACTGGGATTTGAAGTCAATTGTCAAGGTCTCCAGACAATCAGCAACAAAGACCCCTGTACCTCAAAGCTATAAGCAGCTCTCTGCCTTCCCAATTCAGTCAAAAGATTAGTGTTTGATTCTTCGGCGTGGGTGCAAGTGAAGTGGTGAGGAGTGATCAATCAGATAATTGTCAATGTCCTTGATCCTCATTTTTTACATTTTAATATCTGTGTGGTAGCAGAACATGGTTAACAGTTGATGGAGACACTCAATGTATGCAGTTTTCACCTTGGAAGCTATTATTAAGTTGATACTTTATCCTTTAATTGAGGACATCTTAGAACTGAAGGAATATGATGTCTGTTATTATTTGCTTTGGAAACTGCTTGGTTGGGTCTTTTATCTAAATTCCAGATTATTTAGCCAATGGCTTCTGTCCCAGTGAGGAACAAGAGCACAATACATCATTTCCTTGCACAAAGTTCACAACATTCTCTGTTTTACTTGCACTATCTCTAACGCGGTCAATGCATGCCATTTAATAAGCAGTAGAGGGATGGCTCAGTGGCGTTTTGTCTGTTGTATCAACCTAGGGCTAAGTGAAGAAAACTAGAAATAACAAGGTGACGGAAATTGTAAACTCTCTCTCCTTAACTTCTTCGCTACAGCGCAGACTTTCACCATCAGAATAAGGGCCCCCATTTCCAAACCTCTGTCTCTCAAATTTCCCACAGATGAGAAGGCTTGAAAATGATCATTTTCTTCATGGGATCCAAGATTGACAGAGGCATTGCACACAAAATACAGTGGTAGATGTTACCTGAATTTGCATAGAAGAACATAACGATTCACGGAGTCATCTTTCCACAGGTTTAAAAATGTTGTCTACACATACCGAATCTTCAAAGAGAAACACGGGTACTACCAAATACAGGTAAGAAGACATAAGAACTCCTGTAACAACAACAACAAAGAGCCGGGGGGAGAAGAACCTGAGACCACCTCTTGAACCTAAACGTGGCCAGGCGGAGGTACTCTAAACAGGGAAGCCCGGTGCGGAGTTAGAATCGGACCAATAGTTAACCTTATCTTTCTTTGAGAGAAATAGAACCACACTAGAGCTGGTTCCCATTTTTTAAAAAACAAGGCTGGTGTTCAACAATGTAGAAGCACACAGTTCCTCCAGTGGTCACATACACCAACCTGAACTCCATATAAGACCAATGTCGAATTAGAAGTCTAAACAAGGACCAGGATGGGTGGAAAGGGGAGGTGGGGAGAGGTCTGAATGTTGAGGAAGTCAAGGGGACTCCACAGCCGCATAAAAATATAAGGGGAAGTATCAGTCAACTGGTAGGCTTGCGGATTTCTTTAACTTTTCTGCTTTACCTAGAGTTAATCAAAAAAGCTTTTTTCTTTTGAAGCTGCTTTTCTGGCAGGAAGTAGAGTATAATAAATGTCATAGAATCTTTAATTACTAACAGAGAGTCCTGAAATAATCTTTCTGAAACATTTCCATTAAAGGTTAAGGAGATTTTTTTTTTTACTGCAAAATTTCTCAGCATCTTCATATGCTAATGTTTCTTGTAGCTACCTGAAAGAGATGAGAATATATAGTGATCCCCAAACACATACATATATACTTTTTCTTTTGCTACAAAGAACATTATTAAGGCAATGAACAAAATTTGAATAAGGTCTGTAGACTAGTAAATAGTGTATCAAGATTAATTTCCTCATTTTGGTGTGGATATGCAATGCTCTTGCTTTTTAGGAAATATGAGATATTATAGGGTTAAAGGGATATCATGTCAGCAACTTACTGTCAAAAATTTTTAAAAGATATATGTATATACATATATGCACATTTATGTACTTAGAGAACGAAAAACAGAATGACACATTAACATTTGGAGTGTGGTGAAGGATATATGCGGAAATAGTTTTGCAATTTTTCTTTAAGTCTGAAATTATTTCAAAATGAAACGTTTTCTAGAAAGCAGTTCATTTAAAAACATTTATTTCTTTGTCGTGCATATTTTGGGACATTCTGGATAAGTCCTTAACACCCAATTTGTCTCTTGCTTGGACACAACAGAGAGGTATCTGAATCAGTTATAAATCAGACACAGGGGCATTGCATGGCAGAGCAGCTCCGGGCTCAGAGGCCTGGGCAGGATGCTGCCTTGGGCCGGAGTGACAGCCTCAGTGGGCCTTCCTGCAACTGACTTCCATGTCAGGCTGTGTCTGTGCTACGGACGTTAACCACACTGCACTCTGGCCTTCTGATCAGCACCCCTCTCTACAGACCAACACCATGGCCACGTGAGAACCAGCGATCATCAAGGAAGTCAAACATATAAGAGGAGACGAAGCTGTTTGTTTTTAAATTATTTCTATAAGATCACATCAGAGAACTGAACTAGGTTTCTACGCTGATCAACAGAAAACTGTTTACAATTTACCTGAATCACACTGACGTTCCTATGTTCAATTTAAATCGGAATTTCTTTGTCTTTTCCTTTCACACAGATTCTGAATTCATCCAGTTTGTAAACTGCACATTTTGCACTTCCCATCATAAGTCTGCCTCTGTTAGTCCCCTAGGAGAGCCAAGCCTGCCAGCACACAGAGGCTGGTGCAAGCTGGTAGAGGGTATCCTCCACAGTGTGTCTGCAGGGCCTGCCCCAACTTGCCCAGGATGGGGACTCACTCCGCACTGCAGACTGAGGTGGGGGGCCCTTCACTGTCAATCCTCTTTACTCAGAGTAGCTCAAGTCAGAGTTTTGTTTTAAACAGGAGGGTTTGTGTGCATCGTGTGTGGTGTGAGCACCCACGCACCAAGTGCCGGCCACTTGTGTTAAGCTCGCAGCTCAGAGGCAGCCCTGAAAACCACTGTTTTGAGAAGTGTCGCCTTTCACACACAACTGCATGATGATTTCTTTCTTGCATTTTTGCAGACCGTGGAAGGCACTAAGAGACAGGTCTTTCCGAACCTAAAGGAATTGATCTCCAAGTATGAAAAACCCAATCAAGGGCTGGTGGTTCATCTTTTAAAGCCAATCAAGAGAACCAGCCCCTGCCTGAGATGGAGACGATCAAAGATACAGTTGGACAGTATTTATGGTAAAAATTCTCACACGGGAGTCAGACAGGAACTTAAGCCCCATTTCCACCAATGGCCTACTTTGCAGAATCAGTACAGATAATTGACCCTTTCTATGATGTTAGCCCTGAAAAGCTTCATCTACTGAGAGCACTTTCCATCTTGTTGGGAAGCGGTGCCCTGAAGCTCCTGGAGAGGCAAACAGATAGAGCTCTCTGTGCTTGGAGAGCCCGGGGAGCAAGAGTGGTTCCTGGAAACTCTCCAAGATCTGAGTTCAAACTCGTCCTGTGACCTTGTGCAAACCACAGAGGTTTGGGACTAGATGGTCAGTAGGCAAAACTTTCAAATGAGAAGATTGCTTCAACTCCCTCCCCAAGGCTCATCCTGTTACATTTTGCTCAATATTTGCTAAGCCTTCATTTATATAGTGTTAGGGAATAAATTATTTCAGATACACTCCGAAAGGTATTAAGCCATGGTGGAAAATGAGAGACCATCAGGATGAGTGCAGAGAATCCAAACCATACCCCAAACAGTTACTCTTGCTTATTTACACCCCCTTGAAATCTGCTCTCAGAAAAGAATCTAGTATCTGTCAGTTGTCACAGAGTTTGCATTTAACTCAGACTTCCGGGGACATTGACGGTTTAGCTCTGTTTTCTCATGGTGGGATGTATGGTTACAGCCCCAAGTAGAGGTATTTCAGTCCTCAGTGGGCAGGTGATGGGGGTGGTGTGTGGATGTGCTAGTCAGGGAGAAGGGACCGTGCAGTCACCCCACACACATTCCACTCTGTCTGCAGCAAAGTTGCCCTTTAGGCTGCCAGACCAACCTTTTTTACCTCCCCCACAGGACCAAGCTTGTTAATTATGGCTTTTTAATTATGAAAGAAACCCTCCCCCACCATTGTTTCCTCTGTCCCCCTCCCCCCATGCAGAGGCGTGTGCACCCATGTACACACACAGTCACTTCCTATAGGCTCAGCTGCAGATGGAGTTCGACACTTACAGAAAGTAAAAGGCAAAGCCAGGCAGTGTAGAAACCCAGGAATGTACCTGTGCTGCATCCTTAGGCAAACCCGGATAAGCTGCTGAGGGGGCTTGGCGTTCTGGTAGTATTTGTCTCCACAAATATAAAAGAACCAAAAATCCTAAGAGGTGAACCCTTTAGAGTTTGTCCCCAAGAATTGGGTGAGAGTCTCGCCACACCAGTTGTCCATGCTTTGTCAGCCTTGGCAGGGCGAGCTCCCAAATCCTCAGCTACCAAAAGGGGAGCGTCCTCGCCTCCCCTCATCCTCTTCCTCCCCTTCACTTGGCCTCCTTAAAACAAGCCTCAGATGTTCCCATTCTGAGCGAGGCACAGGTTTTTCTACTGGTGAATGGGGGCATCAGGTGCTGGAAATTCTGATGGTTGATTTATAAAAAGACCCCCTAACTTGCCAGGAGAGCTCCCTGTGGTACCCCAGCCCTTGAAGACATAGCTCTGATGTGGCATCAAGATCATGCTGTGCCTGGGGAGAGGTCTCCTTCCCCTGCGTGGTGTTGGTCAGTGTAACTCCTGAGTGTTGAGCCTCACAACTGGCCTTCTGCTTTCTCCCCCCCAGAGAACAGTAACAGTGACTATGTGGACCTCTTGCCTTGAAGATAAAGAGACTGGACAAAGCACTTAGAGAAAAGATGGGGTGACAGCTCTCACCAGCGACCTTGCTTCTCCTGCAGGTATAGGCCAAACCGGAAGGACAAACTCTAGGGGACAATTTGGATTCTCCTGGTCTGGGTGACTGAAGACGTTCTGTTCACCAGCCTCAGAGAAATCACTCCCCATGTCCCCGTCTCCCATGCACACAGCACAAGCAGCTTCTAAGCCCTTCTTCCCCTCTCACTCTTCTTGCTTGGAGTAGGACAGCCTGACTTGTTAAAGATGCCCCCGCTATATCGTGGTTAATGTCCTCCTTCTAACCAGGCGACCAGAGAGGCAGCTCCACACAGAAGAGAACGCGCCAATTGCTAGTTAAGAGCCTGCGTTCCAGTCCTGTGGCTATGTGACTTCAGACAGACAGCTTCCTTTTTCTAGGTCTCTGTTTCTTCATCTATAAGACGAGAGGCTGGGCAGGAGGATACACATTGCCCTGGCCTCTCTGCTGAGCCTGGCTGTGTCCGGTAGACATCCTGCAGCAGTGGACATGAATGCAGCACCAGCACAGGACTCGGCTCCCAGACTCCCCAAAACAGCCAGCACCTTCTCTGCACCTGCCTGTGCTGCTCTCGGTCACGGTGAGAGCCCTGACCCACTCCGGCACCCTTCGCCCTCCAGCCTGGGCTACTTGCCTTCTTTCTAACCTTGATCTTTCTGCCAAACACTGCCCTAGAGACACTGCCTCTCTGATTCTGCCTAATTTCATGTATGCACTAGCCACTTCCAGCAGCATGGATGTGGTTCTGCAGCATGACATACATGGGGATTTTGAAGCAACCCACGTGTAGTTTCTGGTCCCGACTAGGTTTTTAGCACCACCAAAGCACAGCTGGGTCTTCCCTTGAATCCTCCACAGCGTATAGAAATGTGTGCTGCCGAGAGCTGTGCCCAGTTCAGAGACGTGACTGAAAGTTTATTCCTGAAGAGTTTGTTGCATTGGCTTTAAGGCCGTTTAAATTTTCCTGCTACTTCACGTTTTAAAGTAAGACCTGATTAGTGTGGAATGTACCAAATTCTACGCCCTTTCTCTCACCCGTCTTCAAACCGTAGCGAACCATTCAGCACCCCCTGGCCTTACCTTTTCAAGTTATTAAAGAGAGGAACTTAGATCTCCAGGAAACATGAGCTGACATTGTGGCTGGAACCTCAGTGTATGAGCCATCCTGAATTCTTGGGTCACGCAATCCACAGCAGACAAAAAGTGAAATGCAGCCTTGTTCCGGCTGCTGAGGGAGTTCTGGCTGGTTCAGGAAAGGACATGAGAAGCGAGCCTGCTCCCCAGGGTTCAGTCCTGGGTCTTTGATTCTTTCTCCAGGGTACAGAGAAGCATGTCCCAGTTGTCAGGGCCCACAGCAATCCTTGGCACAGAAAAGATACTCAGTGACAATTTCTTAAATAATGACTAAATAAACCAACATATAAAATGTAGTCACTCATTCTGGATAGCAGAGATTTGTTTGAACTTCATACATTCCAAAATCTAGTGGAACAAGGCTATCATAGAAGAGCTTTCCATTATAAGTATCATAGAAGCAATTCCCTTTTTTCCTGAGCACTGGGCATAGCACATTATATGATGCATGGTCCCCAGTGGGATTCCAGCACATTTCTCAAACGAGCAAGCCACATTTAATAGCTGATGTGGCTGTCATGCTATAGTTCCCTGAAATGTTTTAGAAGACCCTGAACAGGTCACGTGAAGACCAGCTGAAGGATCTGGGTTTGCGGGACTGGAAGAGGGAAGACTGAGGCCACAGCAGCTTTTTCAGTGCTGCTCTGTGACAGAAGATGCAAAATTCGCTGGGTACAGTGCCAGCCAGCAGAACTCAGACCAATGGCTGGGTGTTCATAGGAGGGCAGTTTTAGCCAAATATAAGAAAGAACTCTAGCCCACTGGAGCTATCCTATATTCGAACAGTCTTCCCTCTGTGGTCATCTAAGTGGACTTAGGTAGGGGGAGTTGAGTTAATCACATGTCTTAGTTCCTAACTCATTATCACGATCCAGCCATACAAGACCCTTCTTTTATTTCATTTTTCTTTTATTTTCATTTTCCCCACTTCAAGATCATGAAAAAAAATTACCCTACATTTCCTTCTACTGGCTTTATATGTCTATCCTCTATAGTTAGCGTTTTAATGACGGCAAGGACTTTTGTGTTTTTCACTGACATAGATGCAATGTCAAGAAAAGTCTTTCACACACTGTAGATGCTCAATAAATATTCATTGAATAAATGATGAATCTGAGGCTAATCTGGGACCCATGGTGAGAGGTAAGAACCCAACTTTGTATTTTTCCATACACATTGAAGTAGTTTTCCCATTTCAACCTGTTTAATAATTCATTTTTCCCCTTCTGATTTATGGTTTCTCCTTTACATCACAACTGTCCTAACACTCTGGCTTTGTAATATATTATTGCCTGGTAGGATAAGCACTCTCTCATATTTTTAAAAACCAATTTAGCTATTTGTAGACCTTGATCCCTCTGTATGCATTTTAGAATAAATAAGTTTCTCAAAACATCTTGCTGGAATTTTGAGTAAACTTGCAATGAATTTGTAGAGTACTTAGGGGAGAAATGACATTCTTGTGATGTTTTCACATGCGTAATCATTCATTATTTATTCAGGCCATCTTTTTTGTTCGTTAATGCAATCACAAATTTTTACCATGGAAGTCTTATATATTCTGTTAGATTAATTCTTATTTTTAGTTGCTATAAACTTATGTCATATGTTTTATTACATTTCTAGCAGACTACAGCAGTAGCAAACTATGCTTTCATTAGATCTACTGGCTTACCTGTTGATTCTACTGTAAATTAAATTGTAAATTCTATGTAAATGATTTTTCTCAGCTGTAAACGATAACATTTTGCTTTCTTTCCTTTCACCACTTATGCATCTTATTTGCTTTCTATGTTTACTTGATTGGCTAGGACCTCCAGTATACATTCAGCACTAGTCATGAAAGTGTTGCTCCCATTTTATATGAAATGCTTATAAATTTTCTCCATTTAAGCACAATGTCTGTTATAGCTTTAAGAAAGCTATTTTAGTTTTTGCTAGAAATGTTCTGAAATGTATTAAATGATTTGTTTCTGTATCTACTGAGATGGTCACATACAAATCTGTAAGGTAATGATTATCTGTTGCTGGAAAGTTCATTAGTACTCTTATGAAACTGAGTTTGAAGCTCTGGTCAAAAATGGAGAGGGAGTCTTCTATAACTACATAAATGTCTTTAAGGTTTATTGGTTTATTCAATTATTTTGCCAAATTTGGCATTCTTTGTTTTCCCAGGAATCTATCCAGTTTGTCTAATTTTTTTGAAATTATTGCTATATAGTTAATATTATTTTATTATTTTTAAGTCTATGTTGTGACAGTCATCATATCTCTTCACTCTGTATTTTATTTGCATCTTACTCTTTTTACTAATCAATTTTATGCATCTTTTAAAAATTTGATTTGTCTAGTTTTGCCACTTTATTTTGAGGGGGGGAGGTAATTAGGTTTATTTATTTTATTTTATTTTTTTAATGGAGGCACTGGGGACTGAACCCAGGACCTTGTGCACGCTAAGCACACACTCTACCACAGAGCTATACCTACCCCCAGATTTTATGCATCTTAATGGTCCTTTCAAAGCCAGCTTTTAGTTTCGTTAGTCATTTTTTAAAAATTGTTTTTAGACTGCTATTCTCTATTTCACTGATTTTTTAAATCATTTTAGCTTATTTGGCTTATTTTCAAAATGTATTATTTTCTAATAAATACATTTAAAGCTATGAGTTTATTTCACAGTACTACTTTAGCTGTACCCCATAAATTTTTAACATTGTATTTATTGCAAATTTATTGTTCAGGTCAAAGTATTTTTAATCCCTGTAAAAACGTCCTCTTCAATCCAAAGAGAATTTAGTAGTTTGTAATTGTTTTCAAATATGTACTTTAGTTTTTGCTTTAGTCTAGATTCCAAACTATGTAGTGTTGAAGTTAGATAACATAGTTTGATTTCATTTCTGAGGTTTCTTTGATGACCTGGTATATGTGGACATTCTGAGGATATTTCATTTGTTTGAAGGAACTGTTTTTTCTATCCATTTTAAAGCTCACTCTCTTCACCCTCTCCCCAATGTATTCAAGACTATAGGTTGTATAAAACAAGTATTTTTATAGATTTTCTTTTTTTCTTTAATCTATTTGACCTATCAGAATCAAAGAGAAATGTCTCTCATTTTAATCCAATATATAAAAGAGTTTAGTTTCTTATTATGGTAGTTGATGTGTAGATTTGTCTTCATAGTTCTGTCATTCTTGTTTTAACTATTTTGAGGTTATATTTTTAGGTGTACAACTTTTTATAATTATTTCATCATCTTAATGTTTCCTTAGAAATGATTTCTCTTTGTCTCATAATTTTTTGACTTTATATTTTAATATCACATTAAAATGTTATCCTTTCTTTTCATCCATACTTTTTGACATTTAACTTTTCATCACTTTGTTATTAATTTTTTTTAGATCTTTTGTGTTAACTCTGTCTTCTATAGACAAAATATTGCTGGATCTAATTTTTTTCCAACTTAAAATTTTCTCCTTTTGTTTGGATAGCTAAATACACTTATACTTGTTATAATTCGTTCAATTTGAATTTATTTCTGCCATTGTTATAAGCTGAATGTTTGTCCCTCCCACAACCATATGTTGAAGCTCTGAGCCCCCAGTGTGATGGTATTTGGAGGCAGGGCCTTTGGGAAGTAATTAGGTTTAGATAAGGTGTCCCCTCATGGTAGGATCAGGGCTCTTATAAGAAGAAAAAGAGACACCAGAGCTCTTTCTCCACCTGCAAGCCCTGAGGAAAGGCCCCATGAGGACACAGCAAGGAGGTAGCTGTCTGCCCCTCAGGAAACAGTTCTCGCCAGACATGGGACCTGCTGGCACTTGATTGTGGACTTCGCATCCCCTGGAACTGTAAGAAATGTAGTCTAGTAAAATGTCTGTTTTTTAACCCATCCAAACCTATGGTATTTTGTTACGGGAGCCTGACTAAGAAAGAAATCTTACGCCATTCTTTCCATTTACTATACATTTTGTTTCCTTTTTTTTCTCCTTTTCTGCTTTTCATTGAGTAGATTTACCCCTGCTAATTTGAAAGCTCTGTTTTTTTAAAAAAAGCAAACGTTTTTGGTGGTTACCCATAGCTTATTAAGACCTGTATTTTTGTTTTCCTCTACAATATTTAAAATATATTGTTATAATTAAGCACACTCTCATTTCCTTTCTGTCACCATCATTAATCCCGCCTCATTTTCTGATCTCTAACATATGAATTATTGTTACCTACTTCTTTTGGGTCCTTTACCATTTAAGTTGCAGTAAGCTTTACCAAATCATTTACTCATCCTCGTTTCCTATATATTTCCAAATACATGGACTTCTGAGTTTTCTTCTTTTCTTACTAGAATATTTCCTCCAAGAGTATTTTCAAAGATGGTCTTTGAGTAGTAAACCTTTTGCAGTCTTATGTGCCCCATAATATTTTTATTTTACATTCATTTTAACTGTCATTAAATGACAGTTAAAATGAATGTAAAATATAGGTTTAACATTCTTTTCTTTCAACATCAAATATTAAGCCCTTAGTAATTTGCATCCAGGATTCTTACTGAAATGTCTGATGTTAATCTGATTCTCCTTCATAGCTGATCTTATCTTTCTGGAAACTTTAAAGGTGGTCTGTTTTTATGACCTTAAATTTCACTGTAATGTGTCCAAGTATGAAATTTTCCTCCTCTTTCCTGTTTGAAAGTCTATGTGCCATTTTATTCTTAAGATTTTAATCTTCCTGTACTTTTGGAGAATTCTCATTTTTTCCAAAGATTTCCTTCCTTTCTATTTTCTCTCTCTTGCTGGAATTACTGGGAAAAAAGTGTCATCTGTTTTATTTCTTACTCCACATACTACTTGTTGAATGATCTTAGGAAAATTAACAAGCCTTTTCAAAAGGAGATAGTACTTATCTCATAAATAAATGTTTCTTTCACCATGAAAAGCTGCCTCTTGCAGAAGTTAGTTGCCAGAAACTGAAATGCCTAAATCTAGCCACAAGAGGTCAGACAACCACCGAGAAAACTGGTACTGAGCTGAGGGTTTTTTTTTTTTTTTTCAGGACCATGGTAGCCATAAAATCCAAAACATTCCTCTCACTAATACTCATCTCTCATTTGAATGCTTAATCTCCAGTGTCAATAACCAGATTAGTGTATGAGCCAGCCTTCCCTGAATTTGCAATTTGAGATGCAATAGAAATGCTTCTGCCACTCCTGCTTGGGGCTGAAATTCTTGCAATCCATAGAGCAGATTCATACCAAAACCCTTCAGAATGGATGTTTTCAAGAGGCACTAGATTCAATTCTGTCACTTACTGGTCGAGTGACTTTGGGCAAGTTGCTGAAGCCCCCTAAGCCTCGGGTCAGCCGCATCTAGAAAGTGGGGTTAATAACTCTTACTGCACAGAGTTATTGTGGAGAATCAGAGACCATGCCAGCACAGGTTAACACTGAAAAACTACTCTTTGTTGTTTTCTCTTCTGTAAAATCAGGGGCTGGTGAATGGGGCCTTAAATTCCCATCCTACATGAATATTCAGGGTTTAATGAAATTGCACTCACCCCTGGAGAAGGTCCAACTCAGTAAGTTATTTCTGGGCCATGACCATTTCCTGGAAATTTTTATCAGACTGGTGTGATGGAAACAGAAGAACCATGTGGCGATGGGAAATCTCCTTGGGTCTAAAAACCTAGGCCTTCAGGTCTAGTTCTGCTCTTCATTGGTTGTAAGACTCGGGCAATCTGCTTAGTCAACTCAGTCTCAGTTTACCCATCTCTAAAATGGGGTTGAAATAACTACCTCACCAGGCATGATGATTAATGAGATTACATGTGTGAATTCTTTGAATGCAGTATTGTCTGAATCTAAAAAAATGGGCTTAATAGGACTTTTCTTGCAGGGCTGTTGAGAAAAACAAATGAGATAATGAATGTAAATTGATTAGCACAATTTCTGGAATATATAAGAGCTTAGAAATATAATTACAAAGAACCAATTAATAGCACTAAAGCCCAAAAGGGTAAAGTACAAATATTAAGGACTGGAACTCACGGCAGCTGAAGGAGCGGCAACCAGAGGTGAGCCGGTGCCTGGCATTGGAGTGCGATGCTTCTTACATTAGGCTGCACTCAAGTGCCTGCTTCTGCTGGCTCCTTGGCAAGGTGCCACCTGTCCAGGGAGCAGAATTAACGAAGGCTCTGGCTGGAGAGAAATGAGCAACACACTGGCCTATTAATCATTTTCCACTTTGAAAATGGCCTCCCTCAATCCTTCTCCGCAGTGGATGGTCAGGTACAGAGACTGCCTGTGGGTGGAGACCCTGAGGAAGGCGGCTGAACGGGGTGGGGTTGGCCTACCCCTGATCTCAGTGAGAGCCCAGTCTAGTCTGTTCCACACCACTTAGCACTTGACTGTATGTGTGTACATACATATAAAACCTCCCAAATTAAATGATACATTCTCTGAGTGTAGTTCAGCTCAGAGCACATCATTATCAAGCTCCTGTGATGTGCCAGGAGCTGTACTGGGGACTGAGGAGTCAGAAATGAAGATGACAAGGCCCCTGCCCCAGGAGCTCAGGGACTTAGGGCCGAGACACCAGGAGGCAGCTACCTTCCATGTGAGGTGGCAAGTGGGGCCACAGTGGAGGAATGCACAGGAGAGCAGAGGACGGGCTGGTGGTGGTGCCTGGGCTGGGATCCCGGAGGAACGGATACCTACACTGAAATCTGAAGGATGAATGAAGAGAGCCTGACAAAGGCAGAGGAAAGAGAAAGAAAGGCAGGGGCAGAAGGACAGTCTTGAACGAAGGCAGGGAAACACTGCTGAGCAGTTTGGAGCAGTGGGGTACCGGAGCAGCAAGGCAGGAGTGCCAGATGGAGCTGGCAAGGTAGGCTGGGCTGGATTATGGACGGTCTAGAGCACAGAGAGCCCGGCTCACCCATCTCCCAGGTGCTTCCCAGAAAAGTCCCCAGCCTGTAGCCATGATCTGTACCATCTACATAACTGCCGACTGGTGAATGCAGGGGGCAGGGGGAGCAGCATGGGCGGGGCTGCTGACCGTGACCACAGCCTCATCCCTCAGCTTTGTCGTACATGGAATCATTTCCCAGGTGGCCTGTACAGCCTCTCCAGAAGATCCAGCTCCTAGAAATGTCACACCTTGGTCTGGCCTAAACGGAACCCACCAGTTCTGCTGCAAAGACTTTCTAACAGTCCCTAACACAGAGGACCCATGATTTAAATTGAGCCAGGAAGGCAGACAAACAGAATTTACCAGATACCCAGAGACTGCGGGGAAGGTAATATAAGATGGGCAGTGCAGATGCGTTCCGTTTTCCTATCCAGCAACTGGGTCCACCCGTCGTGGGCACAGGATGCAGAGGGAGTGTATTCACTGGCTGGAGCAGCAAGCCCTTCCCAGGGCTGACGGAATGCATGTCCCTCCATCTCAGAGGCCAGGCTTCCCCTTCACTGGCCTCATAGTGGCGTGGACCAGCCAGAACCACTCCGCGGTAACCAGATGGAGATGTTGTAAGTTGCCGTGGACTAGCCTGTGAAGTAGGCTGAACATTCGACTGTGCTGACACACCAGACCAAACTGGCCGGCGTTACCTAATAACCAGGAGAACAGAGAGGATGAGGTGACAAACATGGAAGGTGCTCTAAGGAAGGAGGTAGCTAAGCAGGTGGCACTAGAAAACGCTGACTGGTTCAACAGTAAAACACAAAACAAAGTTGCAGTTTGTCGGGAGGTTGCTTTTTGCTTTGGGGGATTTTCTTTTTTCTTTTCTTTTCTTTTTTGGGTCTTTTCCAAGGGAGAAACACTGGCAGCATTTCCTACTCTGTAACAGGCACCTCCCATGGGGAAGAAAGTAGCCTGGTGTGTCTGGGTAGGTTCTTAAATATTTCTCCAAGCGTGATTCCCTGTCTGTGTGGTCAATAACCAAGTGATTCGTTCAGTGGGGTAGAGCTTCTCCAGGCTCCCTTGAGCTGGACTATTTATCATGGCAGCAGCTGGAGATAAGCTGGACACAAAGAGGATTTGTGTCTCCGGGGGTCGGGCCCTAGATACGAAAGCAGAGGAATTTTCTCATTAGTGGTAAATCAGTGCAGGGGACTCTGCGAATGGCAGCAGGGTGGAGGGCATCCTGGAGGGGCAAAGCACTGGAAGATGCTTTCACTGGACAACTCAAATTAAGGTTTCCAGAGTGGATTTCCTTGGGAGAGAGGAAAGACATTAAATGTCACCCACGCTTGGGAAGCTGCTCGGGGGAGGTGGGGATTCCTCTGTGTGGACTTAATTACTTGCTCCCACCCAGAGCGAAGCCACAGCATGAGCTCCAGACTGGACACCTCAAACCTAGCGGTGGGCGCAGCAGGGTGAAGCCCAGGGGAACCTGAGGGCCAAAATCTCAAAGATAAGCCATTGTTGGGTTGTTACCAGCAGCCACCAGGCTGGAGTGTGGAGCTCTGCAGTGGGGATGTGAGTGGAGAGAGGACACAGTCAAAGCACAGACAGTTCTACCACACTCCCAGGATTCACCGGCTTCGAAGGGATTCTGAAGAAATCTGAGAGCAGAGCAAATGGACCAGGAAGGAAGTCTGAGTGTGGAGCAGGATCTGAGGTGCAACCCTGGATTAGCTAACTCCATAAATTTGGAATCCTGAGGGGAGGTCCCCACCAGCACATGCACAGACTCTAGGACTGAAGCAGGTTTCCCGATGACCTCTGATTTGTTCATTTCCTTCAGCAACTATGAGAAGAAGAGTAAGCTCCGAGGAAAGGCACCTTCAGCTGAAGTTACCACCCGGCCCCCTTTGGTGCTTCCATCTGCTTTCATGCTCTGCTAACACAGCCTGTTAGAATAACAGGGGGGCAGGTTTCATGGTGTCCTCACCCACTGTGCTCATGGTTAAGAGGTAGAACCAGGGTCTCCTTGTCCACCGATGTTACGGCTGTGCTCCGGACAGCACTGTGCCCACGAAGGGGCTTGGATATTTGTCCAAACAAATACATCTTTGTACCCCAGATTCTAGAGCACTTAGAGCATGGCATTAAGAAACACGACATGCACATCCTTTTTGACACTTAAAAATTTCCTCAAAAACATTTTTTACAATTTTTCATATTCAATCTTGGCCCAAAATAACTACTTTGCATAATAGTGAGAAAGAAAGGCATATTAAAATCACATGTCACACCTGAATACCTGCAGAAGCTGATCATCCAATGGGAGAAGTCGCCGAAGATTAGTCCCTGGAGCTTACCCTTAAAGGAAAAACTTGCTATTGTAAGTATTTCAATGCCTTTCCCCATGCATGGAATATGCTGGACTGTTTTTTGCGTGACTCCCGCCTTCCTGGAACAACACAGTGAACCCCTCTGCAGAGCGAGTGAGCAGCCTGAACGTCCGCCATCCTCCTGCTAGTCCTCTGAGAAAGGAGTGGAATTCGATGCAGAAGAGGCTGCAGGCTTAGCCTCATGCCTGAGACATTTTGGACGTGCAGCCAGGGACCCCTGGCACGGTCATGGGGGCAAATGGCAGCGCTGGGCAGACAGGCCCCATCTTTCCCCCTTTAGAAATGGGTATGGCTCCTAAGAACAGACTTTTTTCCTTCCCCTTCCTGTCTCTTCTCCACACTCTCCCTTTTAGTGGGTTAAAAGTCTGGCCGACTCTCAACTGGGAGTCCTTTGGGTCCTCACCAAAGACACCAACCGGGGGAAGCAAGGGGGTCAAAGGGGCTTCAGGCCAGTGCTGCTCCAAGCCACGCTCTCAGTAAGGAGCATCGGGGTCACTCCGGCCTGGGGAAGTGCCCACATCAGCAACTTTGGGTGTTTCACTGACACTTACTAGGGACTGTGACTCTGATGGCAGCTCTAGTTCCTCTCTGAAGAGCGTCTGCGTGCACACCCAGCTCCGTCCCCTTCTTGGTGGAAAAGGGCTGTGGTGGACCCCACGTTAAGTCACCATCTAGAGGACAATCTGGTGGACACTCCAGTTTCCTCCCTGCTTCCTCCTGATGGGGAGGGTCGCACCTGAGCACATGATGCCCTGAATCAGCTGTAGAGCAGGTTGGAAGAGGAATGACTTCCACAGTGGACAGCTAGTCAGGGCACAAACGAGGGCGCATCCCCAGAGATGGGTTCCCCCCAGGAGTCGCGGGCTGGAGGTCTGCTGGCAGCGCCTGACATCCTGACGTTTCTACCCCACTCACGCCTCCCTCTTCAGGCTCACAAAGCAAAGGCCAATGCTCTCCAAGCCACAAGTCAGGCTTCAGAAAGACCAACCACGCCCCACCAGTCAAGACAGAAAAACAAAACCAACAAAACCAAACCAAATGATTTTATTGTACGGTTTCCTTCTACCAGAAAAATTACTAAAAATATAAATATAAAATCTCTAGAAAATCCTCAGAATAGCTCTGTAGTATCCTTCGTCCCCCAGCCTGAGGCCAACCTCTTTGTTCTTTAAAAGTTGATGGATTCTTCGAATGTTCGTCTTCCTGTCACCCACACTCATTAACACAGACACATTTCTCTCCCTGCCGGGGAACACGCCACCCTCCTGCCAGGTTCTGGAAGCTCACCTTGTATCTATCAGGGTAAAGCTGCCGCTGACTCTGGGGACACGGGGCATGGGTGAGCAACGGGGAGAGAAAAGACTTCCTTACATGGACAGAGAAGACAGGCCTTTCATTCCTCCTCGGTACCCTGCCCTTGAGCACACTGGGCCACTCAGAGAAGCCGGACTCAGCATGGCGAGGGGTGGTCAGGTGGGGAGGGGACTGCCATGCTGCAGGCACAGGAAGCTCAGGCTGTCGAGATGGACACAGGAAGCCAGGTGGGGCTTAGGCTAGAGGCCTGGTCTGAGCCGAGACCCTCAGCAGGATAGAAGTCGTCGTTCTGCTGGCCTCTGGGTAACACTTAGCCCCAGGCACCGGCACTACCTGCAGCATCTAGGACCAGATTTCAGCCTCAGAGAGTGTCCCCGCCCACCTCGCCCCACCCCTGGTAGCAGAATCACTCCCACTGCAGAAGGATGGCTGAGGTGATCACAGAGAGGCCGCCTAGAGATTGCAGTAGAGTCCCACAGACCCTTATTTGGTACCAGACATGAATCTGAGTGGTCCTGGGAAAGCCTGGTAGGACCCCTGTGCTAATCCCGGGTCGGAGGGCCAGGACTTCATCGGAGGCTGGATGTGGCGTAGAGAGCAAGGTGCTTAAGGCAGCCTGGCCCCGCAACCTCTGTACCTACGGCTGCAGTATCACCTGGCCAGAGCCACCCTGGTCTATAGGGGAGGAGCAGCCCAGAGTGCAGGTACCTGGTAAGCTTCCCATCAGAGAAGCAAACCAAGCTCCTGGTGTGGAAGCGCAGCGGAAACTGGGCTTGCTCCCAGCACGTGTGTTCATAGTTCTCTGCCCCCGGCCCCCGGCTCTGCATTTTGTGCAGAACCCCAAGCCATTCTGGAAAAACTCACAGGTCCCCAAATCCTTGTGCTGTTCCTGGAGTAAGTCACGATCTACTCAATTCAGCAACAGCCTTGCTCACTTCACCATGGCACTCGGCGTGCCTGGACCCTCCTGAGGACGGTGAAACAAGGCTCCGCTGTGCAAGACGGGGTGGAACGGGAGGCGGTGGGCGAGCTGTGGCAATGTGCACGGCTGCAGAAGCAAGGATGCAGGAAGGCAGCCTCAGCCTGGGGGTCCCGAGGCTCCCAGGTCTGCAGGAGTTAGCGTGGACACTTTATGTGGCAGAGGTGGTGGCGAGGGGAACAGAAATGGGATGACTGGGTGAAGTGGGAAATGAGCTCTGGGGCCCCCAGAGTAGGAAGCAGAACAATGAATAGAAAAGGGAGGTGGCAGGAATCACAGGAGGAGGACTGTTGAACTGCCCGCCCTGGCCAGACGTGCCACTCCCAGCCTTCTCCTGGGACCAGCCTCTCTGCTCAAGAAAAGGCCTGTTCTCTCCTTGCTGCAAAGGCCCCCAGCGTGGGGATCAGCCCCCGACAGGGTCTCCTGCCCACAGGAAGACAGCACGACAGGACCCCTGGTAGGAGACAGGAACACAAAAGTGGGTTAACCCAGGGGGGCAGGAGCCAGCGGGGCTGGGTGAACCAGGTCAGCCCCTCACAAAGACCCCGAGGCAGGCACGGGGCGGGCACCTCCTACAGGAGAGCAGAGCGCTTCCTACTTTAGGAAAAGCAGCCTGCCCCGCGGTTCTCACCGCGTTCCAACCTCTCACTCTCTCCACCCTGGTTCTCGCACTTATCATGCTTAGACCCTACAATTGCATCTCAGGTGGTGGGGCCCCTGAGAGGCTGCTAGGAGCCCCGACAATGGCTCTTTTCACATCCTGGTTGCTACACTGCCATCTCCACTACTGCTCTGGGTTCTCGGGGACCAGCTCCCTGGGTGCTAGGTTCCTGGGCCCTTCCCCCGAACAGGATCGCAACTTGCTCTGCTGCTCCCGCTGCGGCCTGCCTGGCCCTGTCCCCACGCACAGCAAGGGAAGCCCGAGTGTAGCAGGCTGCATCTGCTTCCTCGGTGCCTCTCCAGACTCACACTCTGGGCAGGCGCTCTTGGTGGCTGGCTCTGTGTCCCCTACTCTGGGAGTGCTCACCAAGTTCGCCATGTGGCTAGATCAGTAACACCCTGTGAACCCTGGGTGACAAGGCTGCCCAAGGTCTCAGGCCTGGGAAGCCTCTCCCCTGACCCTCATCCACCTAGGCAGAGGTGAGGGGACAACCAGGGGCTTGCGTTTTCTTGGGACCAGAAGGAGCTGTGACTGGGCTGTGCTCAGGGTGTGTGGCTTTCTGGGTCTGGGCCCGTCATCAAGCCAAACCTGCAATTCCTCCTCCAGCCTGATTCCCCCTGAGGCAGGAGGACACTGGGTCCCCAGGGAAGGGAAGGAAGGAACCCTGAGGGCCTGGGAAGGAGAAGAGCAGGCAGCCTGTAGGAGGCAGGCAAAGAGAATTTCCGCAAGATCCTTCATCTTGGGCTGCTGGTCCTGCAGCCAGTGAGGAGCCATGACGCTCTGCTATCCAAGAGCTGCAGCCAGCACCCAGGGGAACTGAGATGGCACCTGAGTCCCTTTGCCATCCCACAGATGGACCCTAGAAGTAGGGCTACTTGTGGCTTCTGGCCCTGCAACAGCCCGTGAGGGAGAATCAGCTCCCTGCTGGTGCCTTGTGCGAGGAGGGCAAACAGCAGGTTGGGGCTGGGGCAAGGGCCTGGGTGCACGGCTGAGGGGAGAGCAGAGGGAAGGGAGCGCACAGCAGGACAGAAGCAGCTCTACTCAAAGGACAGCAGGTCTGGGTGAGGGCCCTCGTTGTCAAGGCTGGAGGTCCGTGCCCGAGGAGGCGGGCTGCTGTCCTCCAGGGACTCAGCCAGGCTGATGGGGCTCAGGCTGAGTTTGAGGCCGTTTCTCTCGATGAGGCCAGGGGAAGAGGCCCTTCTGCCCTCAGTCATCTTTAGCTTGGGTTCGTCCTGGCTGTCCTTGTGGATGAGGTCAGGTACCGACAGGGAAACCTCTCCGTTGGGCAGAGCCTCGCCCCTGTCCGCCATTTCCATGGTGGCCTCTGGCTGTGAAGCTTCTGCTGGGCTGGGCTGGGCAGCGGGACAGGAGTCCTGGGGTTGCCCAGGTGACAGCTCAGTCCCATACTCCAGACTGCTTAGGACAGGCTGTGATGAAATCAGCATGTCCTGGGTGGTCTTCAGGGCTCGCGGGGTTCGCTTCCTGGTGATGGGAGGTGGAGGATCCAGGCGAGGGAATGTATCTTGCAGGGCTGATCTGTAAGGTTGATGACAGAGAGGCATGTGCTTTAAGGATGCTGGGACACCAGTCCCCAGTGCGTCTTCCCTTCTCTAACTCCACCTGCACTTTCAACCCACCCACCCCAGGAGCGCTTTACGCTCCAGCCTCTCATTCTTGGTTTAGTGTGTTTCAGCAGTTTGTGCGCAAACTGCTTTTGGCCCGTCCCGCCCTCGCTCGGTGTTCAGAGCAGCAATGTTAACGCCAGGACCCCCAGTGAACTGTGTCACATCAGAACCTATGCGACAGTCCTAAACAGTGCATCCCCACCTGGGGAGCGCAGGTGTTTAAAACAAGGCCTGGAAATGGGAGGGCTGCCACAGTGGGCGACTGCCTCCCCTGTCCAGTGGGTTCTGCCAGATGCTGGCTTCTCTACTACCAACAGTCAGCGCAGGGGTCCTCCGGTGTGGCTGGGGGTCAGATTCCCCCTGGGGAGCTTCTGGGCAATCCCTGGGTTTGACTCCAGCTCTGCCAGTCCCTAACTTGGTAACCTTAAGCACCTGATACTACCTCTCTGCACTTTTGTTGTCTGCAAGATGGAAATAATATAATCTACCTCAGAGGGCCGTTGTGGGGTTAGGTAAAGTAATGTAGCTGAAGCGTAGCTCAGGGCTAGGATGTGATGGGCACTCGATAAACGTTTGCCGTGGAGATGGAGACTGAAGCCAGCTCCCACAAACGTCGCCTGACCCTTCAGCTGCTCTTCATGTGACCACCTCATGTTCCTTCCATGGGATCACTCTCCCGAGACATTACAGTTTGTCTGCAGACTTCTTCCAGGGGGTCCACAGAACCGGGGGTGTCAGGGCAGGAAGTGGGGTGCACTCACCTTCCGTCATCCACGTCAGCCCCGCCGGCCAGCTGGGCCCCTGCCGTCTTGTTGACTTCCATTGTGCCCACGCCGCCCAGCCCCGAGGGCTCTTTCCTCCGCAGGAAGTCGTTCACTTTGGCCCCCATGGCTTTGCCCAGGTTCTTGAGGTGCTGGCTGCTGCCCGCCCAGAGTCCTGGCCCTCCGGGCTCCACAGGCCCCAGGGTGGCAGAGCTGGGGGCCGCAGACCTGGACAAGTGGGGAAAGGAGCGGCTCGCCTGGAGCTTTGGGGTGAGGGCTGTGTTCAAGTTCTCGAACATGCTGTGGTCAACTACGAACAAACAGGGCAGACGGAGAAATGGTGAGTGGGCGGCGACCCCATCACTGCTTGTCTCCTCCTTATACCATGCCCACGACTTGTAACTGCATAAGGCTTTGGAAACAGTCAACAAAGAGCCAGCAAAGACACTCTTGACCTTCGGATCCAGTTGTCTGGGTGGGACATAGGACCAGAAATTCTAGTTCTGCCTCGCCCAGGTTAATCAGTGACGAACTCTAGCCACAAAAGAGCTAACTTATCCCTTTAAATCTGCCTCCTTGACTCATGGCTTAACCCCTTACTGTGGGGTCACCAGGCCCTTTGAGGTAAAGAAAAAAACGAGGGTGAAGCAATACGATGTGACATTTTTCCCCGTTGCCGTGAGCACACGCTGAGCTCTCTGACTCAGGCACTGGGGCAGAAGCTGGTGGGGGGATGGCAAGTACGAGGCCTGGAGTTGGAAGCTCCCTGCTGAAAAGCCACGTGTGTAGCTCGTTTTCTCCATGGAAAATGCTCACTTCTCCTGGGGTGGAACTCGGGAGGACGGGCCAGCTGCGCACAAGGAGACGCTGAGTGGTGGCTCAGACCAGCTCACACACAAATGGACACACGCTTGGGGCCAAGGAAGCAGGAGGCGCACCAGCTCACTTGACCCTCCCGACAACCTAGTGAAGTGGGGCACAGTACGACTTCTGTTTGTAGATGATGAAAACGGGCTCACAGCAACGAACTGCCAGGCCAGAGGTCCCAGGCCAGGTACCGGTGTAGCTGGAACCAGAACTCAGGTTCTCTCACCCAAAGCTCAGGGTTCTTTTCATGACTTCCCCCGCCTTGCATGGAACAGCTGCCTAAATATGCCTCGTGGACAGTCTCCTCCCAGAGATCTCTCTTTGGCTCAGACAATTAACTCAAAGGGCTGAGGGCTGGGAGGAGACCCACTAGGTTATAAACGCTTGCAGGGTGGAGACCATATCTCGCTCATCTTTGCGTCCTTGACAGCTAGCCTGGGTCTGGTACGTGGTGGGTGCTCAATAAATGCCTTAAATTGAATTTCCAAACCCATTTTGCAGATGGAGATGGAGAATTGTGGAGGCCCAGACTACAGCAGCTCCAAGGTTTGCAGTTGGAACAGCCAGAGCTCAGGGCTCTAAGCTGCACTGTCCACACACTTGCACAGGGCCTCTTCCCACCTGGAAATCCAGCCCGGGCCTCAGTGTAGCCAGATCCACTCTGGGGCCTTGGAAGCAGGCTTGAGGTTGCTGTCCTTACTGAATGCTCTAGACATTTTGTCAATCTGGATGGAGGAGAGGTTACATTTGGTCACGGGCTCCTCTCCTTGTCAACACCTCTGCTAAGTGCCTGTCCTCGCTGAGCCATCCTAAGAGTAACTGAAGTCAGGGTGTACCTTTTTTCTGTCGAACTTCTGTACAAAGCAGTTCTCTGCCCTGCACTGCTGAATCCTGGGCCTCGGAAAACTTTTCTCTTTATTGTGGTTTTAAGCAGAGTCATCCCTTCTGAGTCAACCATCTTTTTTTTTATTTAAGTGGGGTAGGGTTTAATTAGGTTTATTTATTGTAATAGAGGTACTAGAAATTGAACCCAGGACCTCATGCATGCTCAGTGTGCACTCTGCCACTGAGCTCTACCCTCCCCCCGAGCCAACTACCTTGATGAGCCATATTCTAAGGGTCTCTTTGGGTGGCAGGAGGAAGCTGGGGGAAGAGTGAAGATCCCCCTCTTTGGATGAACCCACAGTCTTCACCTCCGTAACTGCCCCTCACCCACGTGGAAGACACACTGGGAACTCGACCTGAGCATCCCTGGGATGCAGGGTACAGAGCCTGGTTTGGGTGGCTGGGTTCCAGGTGCAGGCCCACCTGACTAGCGGGGCTTCCCAGCTCGTCCCACAACAGGGGTGTCAACTCCTGAGTCTTCTCCTGAGAGGGTGTATCTTGCCTCGTCATCCACTTTTGCATAATTTCCCTATCACACCCCACATCCCGCTAATTTTTCTTGAATCATGAACTCTGAACTAGCAGGGAAGCCCTTGGAGTCTAATGCAATTCATGACTTCCCCCTAAACCAGAAGCATTCAGGCCACCAGGAAAACAGAGCCAATGCTGAAGGAGGAAGGCTGAAGACGGGGAAGAAGGCCAGACCCTGTCACTTCCTGGCTCAGGTAGTTCTGTGGCAGTTTCCTCACTGGTTTAGTGTGAATTTTCAGAGCAGACACACTCATTTCTAAAAGTGTTAACCAAAAATACCTGGCAGTGATTTGTAAACAGTGAGCCCTTTTTATTATAATTCTTTGAGAAACATGTTCTAATAAACATAAATAGCTTTTGGATCATGCAGCACTGTAGTTTTCCTGCCCTTCTTGGTTCTCTACCCTTCAGAATGTATACACTCAATTCTTAAGTAACTTAAAAACAGCCCATCATTCACTCTCTTTACCACTCTCTGTCTTCCTGGTAGATACACCTGTCTCTATGATTACATGGTAAGCTCCCTGATGGGACATAGGATCTTAAGTGGTATTTATTGTCTGTAATGTTCAGCATAGGGCCTTGCACAATAGTAGGCATTTAATAAATTAGTTTGATTGAATTTTGAAATGAACACTTAAAACTGACTGCATTGTGGGCTGACACTGTAGAGAAGCTATTCCCAAGCCTTTTTCCATTTACAAAAACCACCCGAAACCCCCTTCTCTGGGAGTGGTCCACGGGGGCTCTGGAGGTCAGTGCGGGAGAAGCTGCCTTTCTCTCCAAAGTAGGACTCTGGCCGGGGCTTCCTTCATCTCCACATCAGAGGGGTGTGCCATGAGCCCCTTTCCTGCTGATGGCACTAATGACCCCCACACTCTTGTCCCTCCCTTCCTCAGGACTAGAGTCCTAGTAGTTCAGAAAATAATGGTGATGGTAGAAAGAAAGGTGACTGGATCCCAGCCAGCTGGTCCTCCCCACAGCACACCCCCAGCATGCACATAGCCAAGCAGAGGGGAGCATCTGGGAGTCATCCGTAAGAAAGACGGTATCTTACCTGTCCGAGAAAGGGGCTCGGAAAGCAGGTGGGAAACAAACGAGAGAGAGATTTTATGTAGTGACCAATCACTCTGGGAATGTCACCTCCTGCCTGGGCCACCAGCAACAACATACCGAGAGGACACAGCATGCAAGACAGGGGTCCTGCTGTGCGGAGTATAACAAACCTGGATGACCAGGCTCCCACACACTTTAAATAACTAAACCAAAACAGACTCGTATTTTAAAATCTCTACAAACAGGCACTGACGCAACCTCCCGTATTTCCCCCGGTACCTGAGCCCCCTTTATACTAAGTACATCTGAAGTTCCCAGCTGGCAGAGGGAGGAATGGAATGGGCCAAGGCGGGGTGAAATGCTAAGTCTTCGGGATCCCGTGTGCATCACTCATTACCATGCTGTCTCATTTTCACACGTGAATCATTAGATTTTAGACCAGAAAGGTGTGCATACACTCCAACAGTTTAGATTAACCAAATAGGAAAACCAGGTAGCAAAAGGTCTGCCTAGCACCACACAGGGAGCTGATGGCAAAGCAGAGGTTAAACTCCCTCGGGCTGACTCCCAGACCCATGATCGTTCTCTGCACCACTACGGCCAATTGAAATCACCAGTACCCTGGAAGGAGCCGAGGCACAGGGTGTCAACTAACACCCCAACTCATTCTAACGTTCCAAACCAGGCTGTGAGGGAGGCACACAAGGAGATCACGCTCTCCACGCTGTCCTGTAAACGTTTAGGAACTAAGCACAAATAGGCAAGACAACTCTGGGCTCTCACATGCAGACGCTTACCCACACTTGCTTCACACGCTGCTCCTCACAGAGTGGGCCAGAGCTTTCCCACACAGCACAAACCTACCCACCTCTAGGTCTAAAGGCCTGAATGGATCCAGTTGTGAGGATCTAGAATGGGGCACCTTCAGCTCATCTTTCACCCTCACTCTTCTTCCCTCTGGCGGGCTACGTTGTGACTTGACAAAAACGGAGCAAAGAGAAGAGGCAACCTTGCCACTCTGAATTCACAGTCTACCAGCAAATTGCTTATAATGAGCAAAATGGTGTTGAGCAAGCCACCCATGTGTGTTTTAGTCATTTGCTAAAAATAAACAGCACCAACCATTTAAAAGAGTATCTGGTCCCTAGTCTTAGGAAGTACATTGAAATATTTAGGCACAAGGGAACACTGTATTTGTCACTTACCTTCAGATATCTCAGGAAAAAAGAAATGAATACACATACACACAGAGGGAGGAGGGAGCTGATAAAGTACATGGAGTGAAATGTTAATGGCAGGAAAACCTGGATACAGGATACATGGATGTTCTCTGTACTGTTATTTTTGTAAGTTTTTATAAGTTTGAAATTATTTCCAAAGAAAACGTAAAAAATATATTCCAAACTAAAAAACCAGAAACTAAAGCAGAGGTTAGGCAGATGAAAAACCAAGCAAGGAGGTCATTCTGAGAGGACAGAGGACGCCAGAGCCGAGGGCGGTGACAGAAACAGACAGAAAGTGACACTAAAGAACAGAGGGGCAAACAGATAACATCACAGTCACATCTCTACTCTATCCTTCCTCCTCTCTGGGCATTCTCCATCAAGACAGGCCACTGATGAATGACAAGTCAAAATGATCTTCAACATTTTTAATATTGCAATAGACTCCATCCATCTTTGAAAGGGATAACCTCGCTGGTGAGTGGAATCATGGGGCCTTCTTGTGATGTCAACTGCACTTAGAATGTTTGTCGTCTGGGCAACCCAAATGCTCTCTTGGGAGCAGGTGTGTGTGTGTGATCTCCATGCCCTACGGTAGTCAGAATATGGAGAACTTCTCACTCCTCAGCATTTCAGGACCTCGAATCTCTTCCTCTGTCCTGAGCACTTTTCCTGGTATCATATCCTCACGTGCCACCAGCTTGCCAGGTAAACTCTGGTGCCACCAGGGCCACAAAAATGTAGTTCTTTTCGAAGCTTTTAATTGAGTACTCTACCAGATCATGCTACAGAGAACAATTTAGTGAGAAAGTCAAGTTATACATGGGGAGAAAGTAATTTTTCAAAATGCTGCATTCATGGTGAGTCGTTCCTGCCATTTATTCATTTCTGACAAGGGAAGGATGGGGGAAACATTTATTGTCAAGTTGTTTCCCCCTCTGAATCTGCATGAAGTTTAAAGGTGACACGCTGTCTATGTAAGGAGTGTGTCCTAGTTTTAGCCCTGTTTTGACAAGCTGGAGAACGTCTACACTAGAACATCAGTCCATCAGTAGGAAGCTAAGAGGAGGTGGGGTAACTGATGAGCATGAGTGCATCGTGGAATAAAGCTGAATGCCCTCAGGACTTGCTGTTCAAAGCACGGTCCATGGAGCTGCAGCATCAGCATCACTTGGGGCCCCACCCCAGACCTGCTGAACCAGAATGTGCATCTTTAATAAGAGCTCCAGGTGCTTCCTGCGCACATTAAAGTTTGAGAAGTACTGCTCTGTGGAGTAGGTTCCCCTGAACATCCATGTGCCCATACATAGGACATTTTCACACATCTGTTTCCCAAACTGAGCACAGCTACTGCTCCAGGATTTGAGGCAAGTCAGTTTTTTAATCCAAGTGTTAGCAGCCATCAGGCAGCTAGGGTCCGCCATCAGGCAGCTAGGGTCCGCCTGAACACTCTCTGGCTGTGGGTGAGAGATGATTCAATCAGAGGAACCAGTTCACATCCTCAAAGGGCTCATGTAACACAGCTATGCGGCCCACGACCAGACTCCCTCTCTTGGGCCCTCGAGTGCTGGGGAGTGCCCACGGTCTGCAAGGCAGAGTGAAGACAGACACACAGAGCTGCAAGAGTGAAGAGATAGACGGGCCAGGCAGAAAGCTGTCACCTGGTCCACATCTTAAATTCTCCTTTGGAGAGGATCTTTTCCAGGTCTCAATGAAACCAGCCCATTTGGAATTCCCCAGGAGGTCATCCAGAATAGCTTTGCTTATCTGGGTGCAAGAGAGGTCACTGTCTTATGTGAGCTCTGCAATGTCTTAAAGTACTAAGGTTGAACCCCTAGGTATGTTTTGTGTAGAGGGGGCGAGGAGTAGGGGTCCCAAGAAGAGGACTGTCAACCTTGCTCAGCTCACCAGTGTTTCTTCTGTAACCCAGACATTGCAAAGACTGTGTTACCCACTGAGGCATCCAGCCCTGCTACCCCAGTACCAAAGCAGCACTCTCCGGCACGGGGTGGACAACACAGTGCTCTCACCAGGTGCGGCCTCCTCTGACGTGAGTGGGCGCACCTGCGAGGCTGGGGCGGCAGGGGCTGCTCCCGTAGGGGAAGGGCGCCTGTGCGTGGGATCGCCACGTGCTGCCTTCCCCCCTGCAGCCTCCCGCCTGGTCCTTCTCTTAGCAGAGAGCCGCGGGCTTGTGGAGGCCTACTGCCCCTCTCCTGTCTCTCACGCTGGCGTGGAACAGCGGCTTCTGCCTGAATGGGCTGCTGCGGGCAGATAGTGAGGCCAGAAAAATGGCCGCAACCATTGGTGACAGAAAGAGGGACTCCAGGCGGCCAGAGGTCTGGCTGTCTGCTAAGCTGCTGTGTCTACCCTGAGAGGAGGCAGAGGAAAGGTGTCCGCAGGGAGGGACACACCTGACAAATGCCAAGGCTTAGTGATTAAAGGGGAATCTCTACCCAGAAATCAGACTGCCATTTGTCCCAGTAGAAAAGCAAACAGCAGGAAAGAATGCCTCAGAACTGCACTCAGGGTGGGACAGAGGTAACCCCCGACTTCTCTGCTTCTCCTGCTTCTCCTCATGGCCTCAGCCACCCAGCCTCACTGCTCCGCCTGGCCCAAGGCTCAGACCCAGCCCTTTCCTTTGCAGATTGCATGTTGGGGGACCCCCTGAACGGGGAGCAGCTGAGGCAGAACTGTATCATCTACCGGCCCTGGTTCTCCCCTTACAGCTACTTTGTCTGCAAGGACAAAAAGAGCCACCTGGAGGCCTACAGCTTCCCAGAGGTGCAGAGGGACGAGGGCAAGGGGGACAACTGCCTCCCCGAGGACGTGGCTGAGAGCATCTACTCGTCGTCTTCCTCCCCAGAGAACACCTGCTCCCAGGAGGCCCCCCAGAAATTCGGGCACGGCCTGGACTCCACAGACTCCATCACCTCCCAGGACATCCTGGCAGCCTCCAGGTGGTACCCTGCCCAGCAGACCGGCTACAAGTGCGTGGCCTGCTGCCGGATGTACCCCACGCTGCACTCCCTCAAGAGCCACATCAAGGCGGGCTTCAAGGAGGGCTTCAGCTGCAAGGTGTACTACCGCAAGCTCAAAGCCCTCTGGGGCAAGGAGCAGAAGGCCCGGCTGGGGGACAGGCTCTCCTCAGGCAGCTGTCAGGCTTTCAAGTAATCCTGCTGGCTGGTGGCAGCTGTCTTGTTAGTGGACCCTTCAGGTAAATAAGGGACGATGCCTATTTATGTCTCTAGAGAGACGTCAATAAAGGTACTGACAGCCTTCCGTCCAGTCTGAGGTCACCCTGCACCACCTTTCCTTCCCAGTCCCTGGTACCCATCCCATTCCCCCTTCTGCTAATAGTGGCCTAGAAACACTAGGCCCGCCTCTCTCTCTCTCTCTCTCTGTTTCTGTTTTTCAAAGACAATACCGAAGTTTGAGAATATCCCCTAAAATGGTGGTTTTCCAAGGGAGGTGCCCAAACCAGCCATGTCAGCATCCCCAGGGAATTTGTTAGAAATGAAATTCTCCCACGCCTCTCAGATCAACTGAATCAGAAACTCTGGGGGTGGGCCTGGCCATCTGTGTTCTAATCGCCCTCCAGGTCATTCTGATGCAGCTCAAGTATGAGAACCCGGGCCTTCCTGCTGGTCCCTCTGTGACTGGTCCTTGCCCCGCATCGGGGGAGAGCTCACAGTGAGGGAGAAGGGTTGAACGCCCTTTCCTATTGGCATGGGGAAGGCCCCATTGGCAGGATCTCTACACAGTTTGAAATCTTCTGAGATGTTAGATCTTCTGAGGGCTGGAATAGAGAGGACAACATGCCCTGTGCATAAGGCAGAAAACAAGCAAATGGGCTGAGGCCCCTTCTCACCACCTATACCACCATCCTTCACTTGGAAGTGACACCTCTGGCTGAAGCAGAACATAATCATTTTTGACCCAGGGGACATCTTTGCATGACTCTGCTGAGTCGTGTCAGAAGGCCAGGTAAACATGTGAAGACACTGCTTCCTATCACCAGGAAGTGTCCCAGCAGACAGTCCTGACTCTTACTCCATTTCTGAGCAAACCTCACAGTCAACTCTGACCCAGAACATGGATGAGCATCGGGGATGCAGCAAGGACATATGTTTTGCTCCTTATGCGGTTTTAAAAAAAAAGCTTAATGCTTAATGGTCTCATTTACCTCTCATTTCATCTCCCTGATGACTCAGTGGTTCACTTCACTGTGAGGGGGCATTTCCTTTCAGGGACCCTGACACCAACCCTCTTCTTATTTCTGCCTCCCCAAGGGCTGGCCAGTGGGTTGGGGCGGAGGATGTCCCCTTACCCTCCCAGGGGTCATACAGCAAGTCTTCCTGAAGCCTCACTTTTTGGTTTAGCAGAGGTGCTTGTACTTATTACTGTCCTGCTAAATATCATTTGCCCCTCACATCCCGGTCGCACGCTGTGAGACCACTCCCAGCCCCGCACCCATCCCCTGTTCCTCACCTTGATCTTTCCCCACCCTCCTCCCACCCAGCTGGAGTCCCAGAGTCTCCCTGACAGGCAGGCTCCAGCTGGCCAGGAGCCAGAACACGCAGGGTCCTGCCCGCCCGCTCGGGGCAGGGTGGTCTACAGGCGGCCCTGACATTACTCCATTGCTCCCAGGGCCCTGTTCCCTGAGGGGGCAGATGAGCGACTCCGGCAAGTCTTTAGTCCTCACTGACTCCTGTTTCCCTAAATGGAAAAGCCACCTGAGCCCTCGAAAGCTTCTCCTAACACATGTTGCTGTGCACACGTGTCCCCTTGACACGGCTCCCGAGGAGGTACAGAAAGGGGGACACCGGTGGAGTCGAGGAGGCTGCTCATGGTCTCAACTCAGTCTGTGGGAGAACCGGGAGAGGAATCACTCCCCTGGCCTCACCCCCTCCTCCAGGGCATCCACATCACAGGCACAGAACACAGTTCATAAAAGAGGGGAAGCCAGCCAAAGGCCAAGGACTGAGTCCAAGGGCCACAGCACGTGCTAATCACGGCCTGGCAGGGGCTGACACTGTCTGCTCCCTTAGGACAAGGTACTTTCCACCTTTCACATTCCATGTAGCACCATTATGACCCCAGTAGCTTTCTCAGTACAGGGTTCTGAGTAAAGTCTCAGCACAGCAGAAAATGTTCCCGGCACACAACTGCCCTGACCAGCACAGGCAAGGCCTCTCCCTCCCAGTTAACTGGGAGGTAAACTGTCTTGTGTGTGCCCCAGGCCACTGCCAGGCGCTCTGCTGGGTGCTTTTAAAATGCAATCTCAATTACTCTTCATTATACCTTTCTGGGGTGTACTGTATCCCCATTTTACAGATGATAAAATAAAGCCCAGTTCCATTCGCTCAGCCAGAAAAGGGCAGAGGGCATGTGAACCTGGTTGATCTGACCCTCCAAACTCTCTTTCAGGCCTGGGCCCAACACGGTTTCAGGTTTAATAAAACCTCTTCCTTCAAAATGGCTTACACACTCTGGTTAAAGTACTCTGGTTTCCATGATGTTCCTGCAGCTCCTTATTTCTTTCTCTAACACCCCTCTTCGCCAGCATGCCTCCTCCCCTTCCACTCCCTGCAGGAAAGCCCATATCTCAGCGAGTCAGGGCTCCTCTGCTGAGCCGTGCTGCCACGACACCATGATCCTTCCAAGCCTGTTTCGCCTCTGGTATGGACATTCCTGGAAAGGGCCCATTCAGAATCCCACCAGCTACGTGTTTCAGACACTGAGTCAAGGAGTCAGTGAAACTATAATCCTGATGGTCTTAATTATATCTGAAAATATCTCTGAGGTACTTCTTTAAGCACTCAAAATCTGCTGACATGGTTAATATATTCCAGTGATGTTTGGAGTCTGAAAAGACCTGGGTTTGGGAGAGTCTGAAAAAAAAAATGGGTATAGCCTGGTCCCCACTGACATCTGAGGCTGGATAATCCTTTGATGTAGGGGCTGTTCTGTGCATCGTAGAGTATTAGCAACACCCCTGGCTTCCAACCACTACGTGCCAACAGCATCCTTCTGAGTTGTGACAATCAAAGGCGTCTCCAGACATCGCCAAACTTCCATCCTTTGGGGGAGCAAAATCACCTCCCAGCTAAGAACCATTGGTATAACCTCATCCTGGCAAGGCTGGTCTGGATAAACTGCCACTGAAGGCACTGGCTCCTCCCCTCCCTGAGGGAACATGTGAGTTCTTTCTAAACAGCACACACCCTTGGGAACCATGCGTCACAGAGCTGATGCCACTGGGCTTGGGAAGTAGCGAGAAGTCAGGGGGAGAGAAGGAGCAGGTAGAATAGAAGAAGCAAGAAAAGACAATGAAAAAGCTTTTAGAAATAAGAAAGGTTTATTTAGCAAAAGCCACTAGACTAGTGACAACATCCAGGGAGTAAGTGCACTTACATGAACAGAATCTTTTCCCAGAGAGTTGATCCAACAGAGTTAATGCCACACAGTTTTAGGACGTAGAGGGCTGGAGGGGAGGACAGGGGGTAGCAGTCAGGCAAGGAGAAAATAAAAGGAATATAACCCCTAAACAAGAGCAGTTAAGAGAAATGAGGCTATGAAGAGGCTTTATAGACAGCATTGGTATAAGCAGGGATATAAGGAATATAATTTTCAATCCCAATATATAGTCCATTCTGTGCAGAGGAATTCTTTCCTGGTCCCACAACAGTGAGAGCCTGGTGTGCCCAAGAGTCTGCTGGCACCTGGGAGAGGCTGGGGCAGGTACCATAAGGGAGGTGCCCCTGGTGTCCACTTGTCCTCCATATAGGGCAGAGTAGTAGGATGAAAAAGAGGAGCACAGGAGTTGAGTTAGCAGAGCAAGAGGCAAGGAGAGAGGACAGGGTGACATCGCTCGGAAATCAGGTCTGCAACGCCCCCTTTTCTGCCCAGTGGCTGGTGACCTTTCATGGCCCCTAAATCCGGCCTCTGTCTCCTCCATCTCCACACCCCAAAGTGTGTGCTGGTGTGGGTCACACTGAGGAGGATGCCGACACACGTACCAGTGCTCCAGGAGGGCTTGAACTGGGGAAAGGAAGGGGGGACGAGGCAGGTGGAAACCACTGTGGAGCACCCTGAGGGCAAGGGTCTTGAGAGGGTCTCAAGTCAGCAGCACAGACAACCAGTCTCTCCAATTCTTCAACCCCTCCTCCATCTCCTTCCTTCTTTCCCTTTGCGTGCTTCTCAAGACCCTTTTAGAAACTATCTTCCCCACCCATTCTTCTCCCCGCCCCATCCAAGCCCTCTGCTACCACATTCCAAGTCACCTAATCCGCTGGCCTCGGCCTCTGTCCTCAGCCCCTGCTTGTAGGCAGTGGGCCCGGAGAAGCCAGACCTTCCACTCTCCTGAACACTCAAAACTCTAATGGGCTAAGAGGTCCCACACTCAAGGAAGCCTGGGTTAGGTTTTTCTAAGTTAGCTGGGCTCAGCCAAACTGGAAACCTGATCTTTCTCCTTTGGTTTCGTGGTCCTTCCTTCCCTCGTGTATCTGGACCTACTTCTAATGATTAATTAGCAAGTGTAACAAAATAAACAGAACCACTCCTCTCCAATTAAATGCACATTAGGAAAACAACACAAATCTATTGCTGATTCAAACACTCTGGAGATTTCCATTCTCTTCTCTCTGGTCACTTCTCACAAGCCTATGCACACGTCTACACCTTCCCTACACATGTGTCTATACAAGCACATGTGCACGCACATGTGCACACACACACACACACATACACCCACCCACCCATCCTATTCCACTGACAACCTAATGCACCAAGGAAGGCTAACATAAAGCTGCATTTACTTCCGTTAATTTGGACTTTCTGGTCTAGAAGAAATCCAACCGTAGCTCTAAGAAAAGACCCGCACTTTGATTTCTAGGTTTTAGAAAGCCACGTCAGGCTTGGAGACCTCCATTCAGGGGCAACCGCATCCTTATCAACTGATCCTCACACAATACTGCAGTCTGGATCTGCAGCTTGTTGTCCAAGATAAAGACTTACTTCCCCAAACACACAACACCAGCATGTCTCAGCTCTCTCTTCAGGCATCTTTCAAGCTGTTAACAGCCACTTCTGGCCTTGCTGGAGTCAGAGGACAAGAAAGCTTGCCCTCACTGCCCGTCAGCCCGTTGCACCAAGGGGCAACCTCTATTCAA